CCTATAAACCACATTATTCATACTGAATTGTGGTTAAAAACATTTCAGCTATGGATCTATATATATATATGTGAAGTGACAGTATTGTCATTTCAGCTGTTCTCAAATGGTGATCAAATCACATCGCTCAAAAGATTTGTAAGAGCCTTATATAAATCCAAAATGTTAGTTAGGTTATTTCATTTGGCATTTGTATCTCATATAAGAATGTTTAAATTAAACATATTTATACTATTATATATTTTGTTTACTTTTGATATAACATTATCAGATCCGTCTTTATATGAACAAGCAACATATTTAGAATCTGAACGGTGGGTTCCGTGGAAAATAAGGGAACCGGGTAGATCTACATTTATTGATATACGCGACATAAATTGGGATGAGAGCGACTTGTTACACGAGCTAAGAGTTTACAATAAAACTGTAGTTGTGTTTCCGTTATTAAAAGGCCGATCTATGAATTGGGACGATATGCAATATGGCGACGTTAAACACATAAGCTATGACAAAGAGGAAAACATCAAAATATTTACATTACGCCAAGGAAATGGTTTTAAACATCCAATCAGCAATTTCTACTCACCTAAATCGTATCCAATTATGTACAAAACAGGTCAGGAAGTAGTGTTTCATATAAAAGATTTTGCTCTATTGCACTATAATTTTTTAAATTTAAAACCATTTGTCACACAAACATATAACACACACGACACCCAAACAAACATTACTCTACAATTAAAACCATGGCTATTGACTGTATCCCAAACATATAAACCAACATTTGCAAACAAATTTGATTTAACAGATATGACCGGGACTGAACAAAAATTATTTTGGCACCGTGCCATACATTTCTGTTTTCTAGATTATATAGCATTCCTTGACATGTATCAGTTTTTAATCAGTATTCGATACCATTAACTATTTTGTAATATTTAAATTTAATATCTAAAAATAAAATATTTATAACCATAATCCGGTCATGAATATTACTTATTCAGAGAATTTGACGATTGGTTCTTAAAGGAAATATCATTACGCCCTCAACCACTCCCAGATTACAGTAATTTGGATACCTGCCAATCGTTGACTATTGGAAACTACACTGATTAATACTCATGCGTTAAAAGACTTTTTTATTCACCCAACTCAGATTTGTCTTCACTTTACTTTTTGTGTTCGTTGTGTTTGGTCGCAAAATTAGCCTTCAATTTAACAAAAATGTCTATTTTGACTTCAAAAACTTCACAATTTGTGGATATTTTCAGTGATACGTTGTCTGAAATCGACAAATTTGGCTCTAAGAAGTTACTTACAATTAAACATCATATCGATACACCTAATTTTCTGCTCGCTGATATTCGCGGTACTTATAATGGTAGGCCACAAAAGTCAGGAATTTGTTTAACTAGTTATGAATATGACTGGTTGGCCAAATATATCATATATATGAAGAGAAGAAAATCAAAGGTGGACAATGAATTAAAATCACAAAGAAGTGGTCGAATTCTTCGAGTTCATCCAGCTAGTATCGCAGGAGGTTTGGTTGTTACCCAAATAGTTGGACGCAAATCTCGAAAAATTACTCTTTACAAATCAGAGCTGGCTAAACTTAAAAAAGATTACGGCACATTCTATTCAATTATTGAACGAATGGCTGAAATCGATGCTGAAAAGATCTCTGAAGAAGAAAGTGAAGAAGAGTCCGAAGATGAGTATGAAGATAGCATCATGATTAATGCTATGGTTAATCAGCAGTCTACTAATGGTGGAAATCTAACACTATTTGCTACACCAAATATTGTACCAAATATTATTAATTAAGATTATTTATAATTATTTATCTTATTTATTATATTTAAGCAATTTTATATTATTCTTTATTATAATATATATAACCATTTTTGATGTATTTTTTTTACTATAATTTTAATAAAAGATTTAAAAAACAAAACTTAATGTGTGTTGTGATTTACAAATCATTAATAAGGGGGAGGGGGTAAATTTAGAAACTAAAATGAATATTTAAAAAATATACATAGAAAAATACTCGAAGCTGATTTGATCTTCATTTAGTATTAGCCACGCCTCGTACCCCAATCCTGAGCCTCCTATTCGTGATTGAATAGACTGTGTTAGCACTACTAACACATTTTAATAATCAATTTAATGTATAATTATAAATTAATCTTCACCGTGATTACTTACTTAACTATATCCCCTTGACCAAGATTGGATCGATTGGGATTAAATAATACAATAACTGTTAACTGTAATGAAAATAATATTTATAAAATTCCTATTTCCAAACTAAATATAAAATTAATTAAAATATAATCACCAAATTCATGAGATTAATGTCTTGATTATACTCTTGGTTAAGTTTAAACATAAAGCTTTTTTGAAAATCATAGACATGTCCGATGCCCTGTCGTAAAATGTCCATTCTCAATATGGCCGCCTTATCATAGCCCTACAAATTAAAGCAAAATTTTTAAAATTAAATTTTAATACATTTATGCATTCCATACGATATAAAGAGTCCAGAATTCGCCCACAAAATCATATGTGAGAATATTTAAGAGGCATATAATCTCCGGACACGAGGTCTTCAATAGGATTATTTGGTCGGTTTCGGACAACTCTGTGAATTCAGTCATTGTTTTACACATTTTAATTATACGCCGAAAATGTATTTCAGTCCTGATTTGAAACACTCGTAATATTTCGGGCCCTGTATTGGCCTCCGATGCCATCGTCACCACTGGATCCCTGATAAGAGTCGCTGAACTGAACAACTGTTTCAATCGAGTCCTTTCCAAGTCGTTTAAATCAAACAGAAAACCCCTTATAATTGCCGGCAGATTATTGTTTGAGGTATTATTTGTGCCATTCTTTCCGCACAAACCCATCACTTCTGTCTGTGAACTGACAGTCGATGTCTCCGAAGTAGTGGTGATTTCATTGTTTACCGTTTGTTTTTTGTCACTATATTTAACCATTTGTTCTCTTTCTTTGTATGAGTGAAAGAATCCCTATTTTATGTAACAAATAATTTTTGTTTAATTTTCTACAATTATGTGAATCTAATTGTATTGAAACAATTCATTGAAAAGTCGCTCACTTTCTTCATGCCTTTTGCGAAACATTTATCAATTCTACACTTTTTGCAGAATTTTCGCGTCAATTGATTGACAACACATTTATTGCCGGAAAAGCAAAATAGTTTCTAATTATAATTGAAAATTACAATTAATTAATATTAATTATTCATTCAAATAAATGAAAATAAAACCTCAGCTTTGGTGGCATTTCTGCGGAAGAATATCCGACAGGACTCACACGTAAGGGCACCGAAATTATGGCCTAAATAAGCAAAACATAGAATTAATCATTTGTAAAATTAAAGCTTTTAATTAATTAGACATTTAAATATTTTACAAATCATACCAAATGCTTTACCGCCACAAACGGCACAATTATTATTATAATTTCCACTCATTTTGGTGTTACTCTTATAATACTGTCTTTAATAAGAGTATCAATTGTTTAATAAAACTTATTATTATTATTATTATTTATTATCTTATTTTACAAAATGACCAGGTGTTGTATTTTAAAATATATAACACATAACTGTATTTAATATTTATAATTATCACTTAAAATATAATATTGTTACCTAGGCAATATATTTACCTAATATCTAGTAACTATCAGATATTTCAATAAATTTTACACTTAGATTACACTTAAATGTTTTGTATATAAATAATCTAGCAGATAATAATTAATTGCCATTACATGCACTGTACTTATTGTATAATTATTGAATAAACACAAAAACATAATACATTGGTACAGAAAAATTGATAAATATATCTTATTCGACAAAAATTTTAAATTTATTGAGAAATACTGTATGTACTAAATATTATAAATTTGTGATTTGTTTAAATAATAGTTACAATAACTTACTGGGTATTACCTTGATACACTATTAATTAAGAAGCATAGAATATAATATATGGTTAATAAAAATATCAAATTTTGATGAAAAAATGTTATTTATTATAAACTAATATTATTTTGAAATATATAAACGCAAATTTCTAATTAACGGTTAATTATCATTGATTATGACAAAT